TATAAGTTCAAAATCCTATCGTGTTACATATCTATAAGCTCATGAAACAGACAAATTATATTCGCTGTATAAAATGAACAATTTAACGAGTGACCAATACATATATATGCCCCTGTGTTTTAAGGTTTCTCAGCTGCGCGATTTGGATCGGTTTAAATGATCTAATCCAAGAAGGTTCCTTTCGCTGGACGGATGGATCTGCACTTGACTTCTCTAACTGGGGATCAGGTATGATATTGTTGTAAGCCAGGAGTAACTTGGGTATTATCTCATTTGGGTGACAGTCTCGCCTACTGACAAATCAAGGATCTTGATAGAAACGATCCGGTCTGGTTTAGAATTAAATTATCATATCCTGGCACATGTAAGGGACACAACTCGGGACAGCTAAAGGTGCAACTTCGACATTAAATTACAAACGCCTAACAATTATGTGGAACCTTCAATCGATCATATAAATTCAACATCACATCATACGCGAAAGAACTTTGAGAGTTACTTTCAGGCTCAGTAGAACAGAAATGGCTTCAAAATATGTCAACTTTCAATGGTTATTTCGGCATAGCCAGCGTTAGATATAATTTCAATCCGTCCGAACTGTAAGGCTGTGAAACGCCCGATATGCGTAGGTAGTCATGTCCCATGTACATTTTTTCCAACCACTGTGATGTGTAAACATTTCACCACACCACATGATAGGTTGTCTATCACAATATAGCGGTTTTGTTTGCAGGCTTTTAATAAATGTCAATATACGTCCTATCAGGTCAGCCCGACTTTAAAGGCATAGAAGAGTGTACCGGGCTAACTATCTGTGGTTTGGCGTGTGGAACAACTTTTTATGCATCGATGAGTATGCGTATATCTGTATGAAAAAAGGTACCGATGATTTCTCATTCCATTAAATATTTTATTTTATTTATTCCCATTTGGGGGCTCAAGGAGATTAGATGTTGATTGGCTAATTCAGCCACGTGATTATACAAGGCAGGATAACTCGTGAATAGGCAAATGAATATAGGGCGTCACAGGTTAGAAAGGTGAATCAAGTAGTGGTTGTTCTAGTGCTCTCTTGGAGGAAACCATTCATGACATGAAATCAAAGCACAGTAAATACTATTTACCTCTGCTGTGATGGTGGTGTAATTGTTCTATTCTGAAGCCCACTTGACAAAGATTAATGACATAGGGTATTTGTCCTTTATGGGTATCTCTAAAATGGTGATGGGGAATTGTTTTTGTACATATCTTGTAGCGATTAAGGTCAAGGTCACGGCGGAAAAAAAACACCCAAACCGTCTGTGCCTATACGTGTGTACTATACTCTCAATAAGCCAATTATGTCTGTTCAAATATCAATTCATATGAAAATGCTATGTATCCTTTCAAGGTGACGATCAAATATGTTTCGTTTTAGGTTTGCATGTAATATGGAACATGTATTGTATTAGCCTTATGAGACAGGGAAGTTCTATGTTTACCATCAAATGCTTCATTTGTTGTTTACCAAAGATGAATTTGAAACCACGGAAGCTGAGAGGATGGAAGAAAGAGGAAGGACGAAAGAGAGAGAGAGAAAAGGAAACGAAGAGAGAGTAAAGGAGAGGGCGTGAGAGATAGAGAGAATGAGAGAGAGAGGGGGAGGGAGAAAGAAAGAAGAATGAGAGAGAGGGGGAGGGAGAAAGAAAGAAAGAGAGAGAGAAAGAGAGAGATATTATATACACACCTTTTTCTTTTGCTATAATGAGACTTACGATGAATCTCGCTTGTAATATTTAAATGTCCTAACATATTGTCATAGATGTCGATTCTATTGTTTTAATGTTCTCACACAAAAGTCATGCTATACACCTAGATGCAAACAATTCATAGATCATTCAGAAAAAAAATGTTCTATGATATTAATTCAGAGAATTATAGCTGTATGAATTAGGTGTTGCTTAAATTATGTCCATAAGTATTAGTGTGATATGGAGTGAAAACGTTCAAAGTGCTATCTATCTATGTATCTATGTATCTATCCGTGGTAAACATTCAGATTTTTTCAGCATCCCCGCTGAGACCTGGATGCTGGAGATTTGACTCAAGGACGTATGAGCGTTTCACAAACATGCCTACACAATTACTACCTTAATTTAACACACACTCACATACCCTATGACAGCCTTATGTGAACTGACAAATGGACATATTTCTCAATCTTTTTCTCAGTCATCATACCTAAGTATGCGAGCTTGTGTATTTAGTGAACACCAGACATACGATTTCCACATAAAATCTAGGTTAACGTTTGTACCGCTTTTCTTGTTGTTCATGAACCGTAATAAATAGGATCACAACAGTCTCGGTTAGAAGTGCATTTGATGTAATGATCATGGGCTTGTCAGTCTGTGCCTACTGCTTCTCTCATCATACTAGATTCAGTGCACACCACATGATAATCATATAGCATGATTAACAAGCAGAGTGAACTGAACTTGCCGAGTATCTTTTTCTCTTCTGACGACAGGCTCCACTTGTAAAGAGCGGAAGACACTGTACGTGTGTCTGTTCCTCTGGAAAAACCCACAGCTCCTACCTGTGTCAGGGAGTTTGTACCGCTTGGTGGTGGCAATGTAAGGATTTCGCTGTGACTTCCGAGTAGGGAAGAACCTAATATGTGTGTTGAATATTTTCTCACAGCAAGTGCCCACTTATACTACATTATATACGACATCCTCCACCGACCCACAATGACAAAATGGCAACTACATACAAAGCATAGTGTCCATCACTTCTAAAGGTCAATAACGTCAATGCTCGACCACTTCTCCGACCACTTTGATCAACAGATGAAAATACGGCCTGGCTTCACGCAGAACTGATTGAATACAGGTGTTCGGGGTCAGAATTGCCCCGAATACCAAATGGCGCCATCCGACGTTGAACGAATGCGACAATACGTCATGCAAGGGCGTGTCTTGAAGCCAGTATGGGACACATGCTATAATTATTATGGTTACTTCAACGCCGTCCAAGCTCAAAGCCTTTCATCTCAACCTTATTGTTTATAAGCGGCTTGAAACTGACAATAAACTCCCCATTTCTCTCCGAGGTAGTATTATTAGATACACGATGTTTTGAAAGGGTGTACGGGACTGTATGACCCTTGTAAATTCCGTATTTCCTGAGGCGCACCACCTGAGGCGCACCACCGCGTGACGAATTTCTTATCCTTAAGATCTTTTTATTTAGCTTATCATTAAACAACAACATTCAACTTTCGACAGAGCGAGACGCAAAACGTTTCGCCATGATATGTCCTGAACGTTCATAAAGGGAGATAACTCGGGATGGCTTAGTTTATGATAAAAATTATCGAATTTGAGGTTTTTGTTAAACGACAAGTGAAATACAGAAACATATATATATATATATATATATATATATTCCTTGACACAAACAACTAAGAAATTATGGCAACAATTTTATTGCTCTGTTTATAGCAAAACATTTTATACCCCAACTCTAACATTTCGAAGCGATCATCCGTTTGGCAGCCACATTCCATCTAAGGTCAAGGTCATTCGTACAACACGTGCAGTGTGTCAATTTACAGATTTGACGGGATGTACCGTTCGTACACCCCGGCATATCCGCCTACAAGGTTTCGTACATATATGACATTCCTAAAAATACAACTGGGAAATGGATACATTGATAGTTTAGAACAACTACATGAAATATCTAATGGTCTAAACCCTGGTATTTCAACTCTGCAACACTGGTGATTACCAGGCTAAAGTAAATAAATCTACTCCATTGCTGATTAAAATCGACTGGTATAAAAGGATTCCTTGTCTAACTACTGTAATTTCATTCTTATCCGGACTCACAGCGGATCCTCACTGTGATTGTGATGTGTTGTGGGTGTTAATGTTGCAAGTAGATGAAAGTCTCTTTTAACGCCATTCCTATCCCCTTGTAGTGTCAGGTTACAGCCATAAAACGGCGTTCTATCGCGAGTACGTATAATACAAATATGATTTAGTATCAATCATGTACTATAAACAGGAGGTCAAGTATGATTTTCATCAGTAAAATATTACTGATAAAAACTGTTTCTGGACCACAAATAATGCAAGTAAGGTGGCTTAGGTGTGTAAGCATCCAGTTACAACACGAGGCTGGCTTGATTATCAAGTCACTTCTTTGATGAGTTCACATGTGATTTGTTGGCGAGATCTCAAAATGATATGTGCTGTGTGTTAATAAATAGAAGTGTGAACGATGCTTCAATGTAATGAACTATTGGTTGACTTGTGGGTTTACCTTAACATGCATTTGGGGCGGTGGGGTAGCCTAATGGTTAAAGCGTTGGCTCGTCGCGCCGAAGACCCGGGTTCTAATCCCCACATGGGCACAATGTGTGAAGCCCATTTCTGATGTCCCCCGCCCTGATGTTGCTGCAATATTGCTAAAAGCGGCGTAAAACCAAACTCAGTCAGTCAGTAACATGCATTAACATCCTATTTTGTCAAACACGAGACATAGGCGCCTGACTCTGATATATGTATAAGTATGACCTAGATATATATAGGTCATACTTATACATATATCAGAGTCAGGTGCCTATGACACGAGAATAGGTTTGGGTTGTTTAGATGAGGCCCGAATTGACACAACGGTCGATACACTACATCCTTAGACAAATGCACCATCACCGTAACCGACTGCCGGCTGAGAAAACACCAGCAGAAATGGGATTCACACATTGTACCAATGTGGGGAATCGAGCCCAGGTCTACTGCTGGACGAGAGAACGCTTTTAACCACTAGACTACCCATCGCCCCGTGTGCAGGGAGAGTAGGATTGATGGTTTCTACCTGCTTGTTTGCACATACACACATTATATAATACACGCTGTGACATACGCTCCAATACCCACACACGTTGCCACGTGTCAGTCTATATAAACAGCACAAATATGCAGTCATGCAATAACACTGCAAACATGCACCGGATAGATTACACTTCAAGTATGTTAGTCACGTGTCATCTGCCGGAAGTGACCTCTGTACCACAGAGAAGGAAGCTATTTGTCCAGGTAGGTGTGTTGTAACTGTCTCTCATCTCGCAGGCCAGTACACGGTTATCAGTCAGGTCCTACATGTGCTAGTATATGTCACGATGCCACGTTGTTACTGCTGGAGGTACAAATACCATGGTCGTACGTTGTAAATCCTGGTTATTTGTCATACGTAAAAACGACAAATTTCTACTTTCGTTTTACGATGATGGCAGCTTGCCACTCATACACGCCATGACTCACCGTAATTGTGCCATATGGAGACAGACAAGCCTATATCGTGTTGCGATGGTTTAAAAGTACGTTTTGTACAAAATTGTATCAGCTGGCTACTCACATACGCCATGATACACTGTCTTTGCAGGGGCGTAGCTACCGTTATAAAAAAACAGTCCGGGCTTAAACATGATTGTTGATATAAAAGGTTGGGCAAGCCCTCAATACTATCGTAATCTAAAGCTTTACACCATATCGGGATTACACGAAAAACAATTGGCTTGCTACGCGCATGCTCTGTGTCATATCGAGACAGACAAGCTTCATCGTATTGCGTTAGTTTGAAAGTATGTTTCGTACCAGCTTGCTACTCACATAAGCCACGATACACTGTCTTTGTGCCATAGCGTGCACACACAAGCCTTTGTCGTCTTGCTGTAGTTTGAAAGTGTGCTCAATGCAAAATCCTACCAGCTACCACTGTGCTAATGTTGAATGTATTCAAAAGATCTATTGAAAGAATAGTTCTCTTATTGTGATCGTGGTGAAAAGTCTGCACTGCAAGGATATATGTTGTATTGATATACATGACAAGGTAGTCTCTCGTACAGACCCTGAAGCAAATAAACTCTGTCAAAAAAGAAACGCAACCCCTGTCCTCAGATATGAAAAATTCGTTTGAATGAAGTTATTGCTTCCAAACTAAATTTTATTCGAATGTATTGAAATGATACACGTAATTAATGAAGATTACCATCCAAACAACTGCATTTGTACGCATAAGTGTATTTTATTGCTTATTCCGTCACAACGCATGAAATGACCCTCATGGTGACTTCGCACAAAAAAAACACATGCAAATCATGAAAATGGCAGTTAATGTAGGGGTGTATAAAAGCCCATGTGCTTCCGTATTATATTCATTCATTTGTCGCCGAAAAGCTGTGTTAAAAATGCCACGATTGAGTGCTGCCGAACGAAATATCGCCATTGGTCGTGTTCAAGCCGGAGAAAGTTTTGGAACTGTTGCACGGCACCTAAATGTTCACAAAACAACGATATCCCGACTTTGGAGCCGCTACAACAACTTCAATTTGACCAACGATCGCCCGAGAAGTGGAAGGCCAAGAAGCACGACCCCCCTTCAAGATCGGTACATCCGGGTCCATCACCTGCGTAATCGGCATGCCCTACCAACCGTGACTGCCACACAAATACCAGGTTTGAGGAGAGTGTCAGCTCAAACGATTAGGAACCGTCTGAAAGAAGCGGGTTTACGTGCCTGTAGACCAGTTGTTGGACCTGTACTACGCCCCCTACATCGACGCCGACGACTCAGGTGGTGCAACAACGTAAGGATACGGACTTTACAAAACTGGAGGCGAATCTGGTTTTCTGATGAAGCACGTTTTCTTTTGCAACGTCACGACGGAAGACAGCGTCTGTATAGGAGACGTCATAAACGTTTTGCGCCCATCTGCGTCCGACAGGTGGACAGATTTGGCGGAGAAAGCGTCATGGTTTGGGGAACCATCTCATACAACCAGAAATCAGACTTGGTGATCGTTCCAGGGAACCTGACAGCCCAACGTTACATCAACCACGTGTTAGAGCTTCACCTTCTCCCGATTATTGACCAACAGACACAGATTTTTCAACGGGACAACGCCCGGCCTCATACTGCACGTGCAACAATGACCTTTCTGCAGAATTCCAACGTCAATGTCTTGCCATGACCCTCTCAATCACCAGACCTCAACCCTATTGAACACCTGTGGGATACTCTGGATCGACGCGTACGTCAACGTCAGCCGCCGCCACAGACGCTGCAACAGCTCGCCGTTGCACTGCAGGAGGAGTGGAGAGCCATTCCCCAGGAAAGAATCCGGCGTCTTATCCGTTCTTGTCCAAGGAGATGCCGTGCAGTGATTGCAGCGCGTGGTGCTCATACGAGATACTGAGAAAGACGCCCCCCTGGTGACAAACTGGTGTCTGTGAGATGACTTTTGAAATGACAATTTTAAACATGCCCATCTGGGTTATTATTCTGCCAAATTTCAGACTTCTGTCTTAAATAATAAAAATGCCGTGTCGTCCTAAAACTTCAGATCAAAATCTCTAAAATACAGGGGTTGCGTTTCTTTTTTGACAGAGTTTATATCCAAGAAAGCCCACACAAGTCTAGAAAATGTGGCAAGTCTAGATTTCCTCACTGAAAATGAAGAAAGTCTCAGGGCTCCTTTTCATTATATATATATTTTTTTTACTATGAACATTTTTCAGTAAAATATGTTCATTTCAGAGACTAGTTGTTAGTCTAATGACAAGGTACCTCTCGTTGTTAACGAACCGCCTCGCCTCTGTGGGTTGTGGATAGAACGTGGATGTGTTGTCCGGCGCCCAGTATTTCGATGACATAAAGCAGCACAAGCCTATTCAGACACAGTATTATGTTTCTGAGAAGAGGTTTCTATTTCAAATTACTGCCTCGGCTCTCATACAATACAATACATACACAGTCTCGTACGTCTTGCAATTTATTGTAGTTTGCTTCTTTTATAAGCTTTGTTGGATTTTGTTTGCTGTGTAACGCTGCAATGAGCAATAGTCCAGCAATACGACGATAGTCTGTAAAAAATTGAGTCTGGACCTGACAATCCAGTGATCAACAGCATGAGCATCTACAGTATTTGGATACTATAACGTGTCAGTCAAGTCAGCGAGCCTGACCACCCAATCCCCTTTGTCGACTCTTGCGACTTTTTCTAACCCGGATAATGACGGGTTGTTGCTTTCCTGAATGTGTGTCTTGAGCCTTTTTATTATATTTAATTAATGTATTTTAGGAATCATTTGTACTGAAAATATGTTAATGTCAGGGACTAGCTGTTATTCTACACAGAGACTAACTCAACGAGACATTGTGTTGAAGACACAGTTATATGTCTTATTTGAATAGATGGACAAACAGACAATGCAAAGTTAGGGATATATGAAATGCTTAAACTGTCTGGTAACACATCAGGAATAGGTTTTACAAAATGTTATATCGGCCTGAAGGAACATTCGTCAGTGAATTTGGAAAATATAGGAAAGAAGTCTGTCGAATGGAGCATGCAAATCACAATAACCACCTTTGAAAAAACAAGTGTTGTTATGGGTGCGTTGTCTCGAGGTCAAATATTTTTACACGAGTACTTGGATATATGGATAGGTATAATTACAGATTACAAAACTCAAGTGTTTACGATTGTGTGGGACGAAAAAAACTTTGCAAAAACACCACAGAGAACGGCCCAAAAGGGCTTTAAAATGGTCTTTTTTCAACATTCTACTGTGGACCCAGGTGCCTTTGGTCACAATAAGCGATTTGACGTGTAAAATTAAACATTGAGATGCTTGTAAACTGTTCTTTGGGTGACAATTATATGTTGGTTTGCAAACTACCTATCTCACCATTAGGGGAAATATAACAGAGATCACTCATTAAAGTTTACTGTCTTCCAGAATGGACATCTTCCCCATGTGTTCTGTCTGTCAGCAGCAGTTTGACCTCAAAGGCCCCGCCCCCTACCTACTGCCCTGTCTACATGCTGTGTGTGAGACGTGTGTGACATCTGCAACTGGTGGGGTGATATCATGCTCTACTTGTCAGACGGAGGTCAACCTCACAGATACAAGGCTCAAGAAGGATGCAGTGAGACAGAAGGAAATATTCCATCTGACAGCCAAACATCGCCCCACGGAGCTTCTCTGTACAAATGAAGATGACGGCAACCAGGCTGTGTGTTGGTGTCAGGACTGTGAAGAGCTCCTCTGTGAATACTGCCAGAATATGCACTGCAGCCTCAAACTTACCAGAAAACATGTACTTCAAAACCTCAGCGACTTTAAACCAGCTGTCTCAAACATTCCAACCCCGTGCAGTATCCACAGCCCTGACTCTCTTTATCTTTTTGATCGGAGATGCAACATTTTGATTTGTGGAAGATGTAGATTTGAAGATCACGCAGATCATGAAGTTGAGAAGCTAGATGTGGTAGCTGAAAGTATCCTCAAACAGCTGGACCAACACAAAACTGAGCTGGCAACCTTACAAGCTCGTCAACAGTCCAACATTCAGAATATCAGACGAGGGACCGAAATCACAGATACAACGCACAACACACTGAAAGAAAATATTGGCCATACTTTCAGAGTTCTGCGATCACAACTTGACCAACGAGAGAAGGAACTTCTGACTGATCTTGAAGGTCAGACGAAGGCGACCAAGGCAAGTCTCCGTACTCAGCTAAACACATGTGAAGGAGCTTCGAAGAAATGCTCTTATGTTATAGACTACGTCACCAAGGTTCTCACGTATGCCTCACAATCAGACCTCCTGGAGTTGGAGAGTTCTGTAAGGGAGGCAACTCGGGCTTTCCTTGACACTGCTGAGACTCAAACACAGGACATACCCGCAGCTGTCTTTAACACCAACGGCTTGTCAAAGCTGAAATCAAACATATCACGATTTGGGGCTGTCGTGACCAAGGACATGGAAAAACAATATGCAAGAGGTATTTATATGTGATATGATTGCAAGTTCTTTTTTATTGCGTGTAGGAGTGGAACAGCGGTTTATAGTGCTTACAGATGCACTATTCTTATGGATACACAATGCCATTTAGAAAGTGATCAGAGTTGTTTTGTTATTGCGTGTAGAAATGGGACAGCGTTCTACAGTGTTATGTTGTATTTGGGACTACACGTTCTCAGTAAATTACAGATTCTATGACTGTTTTGGGTCTAGAATCCGTAATTTACTAAGAAGCGTCCTTCAAACTGACATTGTCTATTTATAGCTGTCGGCTATGTGGGTGGTGTCAATTCACATTTGTCAGAGGGATACACAAAGTACATAGTCTACCAGTTGTCAGACTTCCATTTCTATGGAAACCGCTGTGGCTGAGTAGGTTAGATCGCTGACTTTATGTGATCGGGTGCTTGACTCTGAGAGTGTGGGTTCAAATCACGGCTGGACTCAACCTAACAAAATGTACTAGAATTTGTACTTTACGGATAAACTGTAATCCCAAATATAACATGTGACACATCATTCTCAGCAACTCGAGGTTTTTGCTCGAAAAACAACTAATATTATACTTAAAGCACCGGTATTTATTGACACAATGCCATTGTCTAGTCAGCCGAGTTGTATTAGATACTTAAAAAACACGCACTTTATAAACAGTAACACTTGCTCATAATATGTTGGAATTTTACAGTCGAGATTTCTTATGGATGTCCCATTATCGCTGATGGGGCGTAAAGCACCAATTATTCATTCATTCTTAAGGGTGTATTTACATCATGGTGTTGTTTCAGACAAGGAAACTCAAACTGAACATGACTTCATAGCTGAGATGGAAATCAAATATAAGAACGTGAGTTTGGTAATTAAAATAATATAATGCACCTTAACCGCTAAAGAAGAGCATATGAGATAGTATGTATGACTACAAAGTATCAATGTACTATAACCAACTAAAATGTAAGACAACGATCTAAAGCATTTTGAATCCGTTTTCAGAAGTACATGTCCATAATTACCTATCTAATGTCCACAGCACATCGCTCGCCGCGAATAGCTGTAATATCGCTGATGCGGGGATAAGGAATAATTATTCATTCATTCATTCATTCATTCATTCATTCATTCATTCATCCATTCATTCAGCACATCTGAAAACAGAAGAGGATCATTGACTGAGACAAAAACAAAATCGAAATACATGCAAGCTATATCAGAATTAACAATCTGAGAATGATATGCTTTTTAAACATTCACTTTATTAAAAAGAGGTACAAGGTAACTTCAGTTATTTTGGGTCACGCTGGAGACCCGGGTTCGATTCCCCACATGGGCACAATGTGTGAAGCCCATTTCTGGTGTCCCCCGTCGTGATATTGCTGGAATATTGCTAAAAAATGTGTAAAGCTAAACTCACTGACTTACTCATTCAGTTATTTTGGAGGTATTCGTTGACAACGAAGAGGGCACGATTTATAGATATTACTTTTATTGTGACTACACATCGTAGGCCGTTATGAGGTTGTCAAACCACCGTAAAGCAATCCAGAAACATCGCTGTGCCAGTAGATAAAATATACGGCATATTCGGTACATTGTATGTTCCTTTCCGAGTTAAGTTTACAATATCTAGATATTTGTACATACCTATCACCTACCTCCCCATATGTCCCGACATACATACTTACAGACAATTAAGTCTGATTAAGGGTTATCTTTTCAGAGCATCGATGAGAACGAAAACATCGTGAAGAGAGCCTCAGAAACCACCCATTTCCTGCTTGGTAAAGTCCAGTCACCTTTGTTCCTTTACTTTCTTCGTTCAGATAACTGAGTCCAGGTTTTAACACTAAAATGTTGGCCTGTGTGTTGGGTTTATTATTGACATTCACTACAAGATATGAAAATGTTGTTTTATCAAAGTGATGGCAATGTTGATGTTGCAGGGCTGCTCAATGAATGCGATGTTCACCTGCTGAAACCAGACGCCTTGGACAAGTCGATGGTGCTGAAGTGTACGTTCATAATCTACCCATTTACCATCTATGCTTACACTACAGCCTCCGAACCTATTGTCACATCATGGAGGTGATTTGGGGGCTTGGCTACATTAGCCACCCAGTGTATTCTGTAGTAGAATGTTTTGGAACAACTGTTTGGCTAATGATCGACGTACAAAGTGTTTGTTTGTTTGTTGTTTAACGGCGCAATCGGCAATATTCCAGCTCTATGGCGGCGGTCTGCAAATACTCGAGTCTGGACCAGACAATCCAGAGATGGACACCATGAGCATCCATCTACGCAATTGTGATACGATGACATGTGGCAACCAAGCGAGCCTAACCACCCGATTCTGTTAGTTTTCTCTTACGACAAGCATAGTTTGCTGAACACAAATTCTGATCCTGATGTCAATGCTGACTATATATGGGATACGACAACATCATCCTAGAGAGAATTTGTCTTCTGAATCGGTGACACCTGATTAGTGTTTGCTGGACTGGTCACTTATTGTACCTTCTTTCAGAATGTTACACTCAGTAGATACGATGTTTATGTGACAGGGCGTGAAATGATATACATATGACAATTTCGCTTTGTCAGCTTCCTATGGCCATGTGGACGAGCCATCCGACTTCCAATCAAAAGGTCCATGGTTTGAATCCCATCACGGGATACGGTAGTTTTATGGCCTGTACATAGCAATCAGTGATCAAAACTGACCTTCACGTTGTTGTTTTTTATCATTTTGTTCTTAAGATTATCTTTTACTCGTTTGTTTGTTGTTTAACGTTGCATTCAGCAATATTCCAGATATGTGATGGCGGTTTGAAATTATTCAGACAACCCAGTGATTGTCATCAGGAGCATCTAATCCACGTTTATGTGTTGTAGGTATACATCTGAAGTATGACACAGATAATATTAACCTTAAGGGCACCCACATCAACACAGAGGGGGACTTGATCAACAGCAAGTCGGAGACCAGGTCTGCAGGGAAAAGGGGAAAGACGATCTATGAGGGCACATGCAGCACTATCCCCTACCCCTTGGCTGATTGTCCCCAGTACTGGGAGACGGAGACCAGGGTCGGACTGGACAAAACACTCACATGGAACATTCTCATCCTGGAGGTTGGTGTCTGTGCTGAGAGAGAGAGGGACATGGCTTTCTACGTAGACCGTCGTCCCCATCCCTACAGTTTGATCGTCCACTACTGTACTACTCACAAAGGGATATGCAGGGTAACCATGAAGGAGGGAAAGGATGTGTTACATCTACCTGACACCATCCCCAACACAGCAGGGACATCACACACACTACACTACGGTGTTGTCTATGATGACGCCAGGAAGAAGATTGTCTTCATTGATGTGAAGGAGAAGAAAGTCATATCGACCTTAGACAATGTAGACTGTAGTCAACCACTGTGGCCGATGTTCCGGGTATATAACCCACATGTCCTCAATGTCAGCATGAGACTTGTGGTGGGCATCGACATCAACATGACAGAGGAGAAGAAAGCCATGATTGTCAAGGCGCTGTCGTGATGTGGCATGCTAAAGGCGGGCATGGTGGTGAGTATGATCACACACAGATACGTATGTATCAACATGACGGAGGAGAAGAAAGCTCTCGTTATAAGACACTGTCATGATGCCATTTTATCACACCGACGGCCACTGTCGTGAGTAGGAACACACAGAGATATGTACCAACGATATCAACATGACGGAGACGAAGAAAGCTCCAGTTATAAGACACTGTCATGATGCCATGTTATCACACCGGCGGCAGTGGTGGTGAGTAGGAACACACGCAGATATATACCAACGATATCAACATAACGGGGGAGAAGAAAGCTCTAGTTATAAGACACTGTCATGATGCCATGTTATGACACCGGCGGCCACTGTCGTGAGTAGGAACACACGGAGATATGTACCAACGATATCAACATGACGGGGGAAAAGAAAGCTCTAGTTTTAAGACACTGTCATGATGCAATGTTATGAGACCGGCCCCCATGGTCGTGAAGATCAACACAAAGCGTTGTGGACAGCGTCATAAACATGGCAGAGAAGAAAGTTCTGATTATTTTATGATGATGGTACTTCAGACAGACAGACAGACAGACAGACACTAGTCTATACCCTGTCTAAGCAAGATGCTCCTCCCTGATTATTACTAATCTCCTCATCGTGTTGCTGTCCGAACTTGAAATGTTTGTATTATAATAGTTTTCTACACATTGTTAACTTAGAGGACACAGAGTCCAGCCATACTGTACACATTGTTAACGTAGAGGACACTGAGTCAAGCCATACTGTACACATTGTTAATGTAGAGGACACTGAGTCCAACCATACTGTACACATTGTTAACGTAGAGGACACTGAGTCCAGCCACACTGTACACATTGTTAACATAGAGGACTCAGGGATGTCCAGCCATACTGTACACATTGTTAACGTAGAGGACACTGAGTCAAGCCATACTGTACACATTGTTAACGTAGAGGACACTGAATCCAGCCACACTGTACACATTGTTAACATAGAGGACCCAGTGATGTCCAGCGATACTGTACACATTGTTAACGTAGAGGACACTGAGTCCAGCCATACTGTACACATTGTTAACGTAGAGGACACTGAGTCCAGCCATACTGTACACATTGTTAACGTAGAGGACACGGAGTCCAGCCATACTGTACACATTGTTAACGTAGAGGACACTGAGTCCAGCCACACTGTACACATTGTTAACGTAGAGGACTCAGGGATGTCCAGCCATACTGTACACATTGTTAACGTAGAGGACACTGAGTCCAGCCATACTGTACACATTGTTAACGTAGAGGACACTGAGTCCAGCCATACTGTACACATTGTTAACGTAGAGGACACTGAGTCCAGCCATACTGTACACATTGTTAACGTAGAGGACACTGAGTCCAGCCATACTGTACACATTGTTAACGTAGAGGACACTGAGTCCAACCATACTGTACACATTGTTAACGTAGAGGACACTGAGTCCAGCCATACTGTACACATTGTTAACGTAGAGGACACCAGGGATGTCCAGCCATACTGTACACATTGTTAACGTAGAGGACACTGAGTCCAGCCATACTGTACACATTGTTAACGTAGAGGACACTGAGTCCAACCATACTGTACACATTGTTAACGTAGAGGACACCGAGTCCAGCCACACTGTACACATTGTTAACATAGAGGACTCAGGGATGTCCAGCCATACTGTACACATTGGTAACGTAGAGGACACTGAGTCCAGCCACACTGTACACATTGTTAACATAGAGGACCCAGGGATGTCCAGCCATACTGTACACATTGTTAACGTAGAGGACACTGAGTCCAGCCACACTGTACACATTGTTAACGTAGAGGACACTGAGTCCAGCCATACTGTACACATTGTTAACGTAGAGGACACTGAGTCCATCCATACTGTACACATTGTTAACATAGAGGACACTGAGTCCATCCATACTGTACACATTGTTAACGTAGAGGACACTGAGTCCAGCCACACTGTACACATTGTTAACATAGAGGACTCAGGGATGTCCAGCCATACTGTACACATTGTTAACGTAGAGGACACTGAGTCCAGCCACACTGTACACATTGTTAACATAGAGGACTCAGGGATGTCAAGCCATACTGTACACATTGTTAACGTAGAGGACACTGAGTCCAGCCATACTGTACACATTGTTAACGTAGAGGACACTGAGTCCAGCCATACTGTACACATTGTTAACGTAGAGGACACTGAGTCCAGCCATACTGTACACATTGTTAACGTAGAGGACACTGAGTCCAGCCATACTGTACACATTGTTAACGTAGAGGACACTGAGTCCAGCCACACTGTACACATTGTTAACATAGAGGACCCAGGGATGTCCAGCCATACTGTACACATTGTTAACGTAGAGGACACTGAGTCTAGCCACACTGTACACATTGCTAACATAGAGGACTCAGGGATGTCCAGCCACACTGTACACATTGTTAACGTAGAGGACACTGAGTCCAGCCATACTGTGCACATAATGTGTATCATGGGGTTCATAAACTCTCTTTGAAACAACAAATTATGAATGTGAAATTTGTTGGTGACACTGTCAGTCCAGCCATATTGTACACATTATGTGTATCCTGGGGGTCATGAACTCGCTTTGAAACAGCAAGTTATGAACGTGAATTTGTTAGTGACATTGATTATATCTGGACTTAGATGATTTCTAGAGATGTGCAATGTAAAACAAGACCTGTAAATAATCTCTTTCACTACTACGCTTATATTATTCTTGTATACACATCTAACCTCTCCGTATTTTGTGGGTAAAATAAAAACCTGAAAAGAGAAATAGAAAGTATATGCAATTATTTAATAAAAGTGGCTTGGATATGAAGTGTCTATGAAAGTTGGCTTTGAGTATAATCTAATACAGCATGACGTTTTCATGTATTTATTGCTTATCCAAATCTACTATTCAGCAGCAATCTCCTACTGTCTGCTTGTGTGATGTTGGGAATGTATTGAAGAGAGCAGCATGTACTGATGGGCCAACATGTATTAAGGGTCCAACATGTTTCAGGGGCCAATACGTATGGAAGTTCTAACATGTTTCAGGGGCCAATTCATATGGACGTTCCAACATGTTTTGATAGGCCAACATGTATTAAGGGTCCAACATGTTTCAGGGGCCAATACGTATGCAGGTTCTAACATGTTTCAGGAGCCAAGACGTATGGAGGTTCCAACATGTTTCAGGGGCCAATACGTATGGAGGTTCTAACATGTTTCAGGGGCCAATTCATATGGACGTTCCAACCTGTTTTGATAGGCCAACATGTATTAAGGGTCCAACATCTTTCAGGGGCCAATACGTATGCAGGTTCTAACATGTTTCAGGAGCCAAGACGGATGGAGGTTCCAACATGTTTTGATAGGCCAATACGAATGGAGGTTACAACATGTTTCAGGGGCCAATACGTATGCAAGTTCTCATATGTTTCAGGGGCCAATTCGTATGGAGGTTCCAACATGTTTTGATGGGCCAGCATGAATTAAGGGTCCAACATGTTTCAGGGGCCAATACGTATGGAGGTTCAAACATGTTTCAGGGGCCAATACGTATGCAGGTTGTAACATGTTTGGATGGGCCAATTCGTATGGAGGTTCCAACATGTTTTGATAGGCCAACATGTATTAAGGGTCCAACATATTTTAGGGGCCAATACACATGGAGGTTCAAACATGTTTAAATGGGCCAACATGTATAAAGGGTCCAACATGTTTCAGGGGCCAATACGTATGGAGGGTTCCAACATATTTTTAATGGGCCAACATGTATTAAGGGTCCAACATATTTTAGGAGCCAATACGCATGGAGGTTCAAACATGTTTAAATGGGCCAACATGTATAAAGGGTCCAACTTGTTTCAGGGGCCAATACGCATGGAGGTTCCAACATGTTTCGATGGGCCAACATGTATTAAGGGCCTACATGTTTCAGGGGCCAATACGCATGTGGGTTTCAACATGTTTCGATGGGCCAACATGTATTAAGGGTCCAACATGTTTCAGGGGCCAATATGTATAGAGGTTCAAACATGTTTCGATGGACCAACATGTATTAAGGGGCCAACATGTTTCAGCGGCCAATACGTATGGAGGTTCAAACATGTTTCAGGGGCCAATACGTATGGAGGTTCCAACATGTTTTGAGGGGTAAACATGTTTGAGGAGCCAATATGTATGAAGGCTTCAGCATGTTTTTAGTTACCAACATGTTTGGATGCTCCAATATGCATTGAGGCGCCAATATGTATGGAGGCTCCAGCTAATGTTGAGGCTCCAACATGTTTAAGGGGCCAACATGCATTGAGGGGCGATAGACAAAACTACTCTATACAAATCCATGATCAATCAATTTATTTTCTCAGCAAAGGATAATTCATACAAACTGTTTGTACACACAAAATGTACAAAAAACGATGGTATGAGTATTAGGATATCGACATCCTAAACCGAGTATTTTGTCATCTGAGTTGTGATAGTATTTTATAGCATACTATCAGATTTGACCTGTAAGATTGATAGGTTTAATCGTTTATTTTATCAAAGATAGAAATATACTAAGTTTGATCACAAACGATTTATTTCAGTATATATATAATGTACATCAAATATACAAAAGACATTCACCGTGTCACAGCTCACATTCATCACATTCAGTCTTTCACTCAGGCGCGTGTCACTGCAAATCAAATTACACATATATCTCAATGATCATCAAGGCAAGTTCCTCAAAACGAGGAGCGGTCGGGTAGTCTAGTGGTTCACTCGTCACACCATAGATCGATTCCCTACATGGGAACAAAGTGTGGGGCTTATTTCCGGTATTCTTCGTTGGAATATTGCTAAAAGAGGCATAAAACAAAATTCACTCACTCACTCCAACCATAACTGGAACAAACGAAACATAACAGTTTCAGATTCGCAAATTCTATTTGCGTAATAACTGAGAGTTTATGAGCAAACGATCGGAGTCTTTCTGTCGTCAATTCCAGATGCGAGGGAGGTGGACACTATCTGTATTCTGTGAGCAAAGTGGTGAAGATGGTGTGTAGTCACGTCGGATTCACGTCCAACTCCTTGTTGTCGAAATTCGCAGTACTGTGGTTTCCTTGAAACTGTATTGAGAAATATACGACCATGTCATAGGAAGACTACTCTACGGCAGATTAACATCTCACGCAACTGTGATACACATGGGTATCTTGGTTAACCAGCTCCCAGTTTTACACACAGCAACAACTGAGACGACTTAGCTGGGAAAGTCTCATTTCAAAACATGATACATATAAATATGTTTATATCTGAATTTAGATACCATTGTTTTACCTAGTACGTATGGAACTATCATTCCTGTTTGTAGTTGAGTACAATAAATCAAACAGAAACTCATGTGCTTCAATTAACCTGGTTACTGAAAGAGTAACATGTGGTATCAAATTGAAATGTTCTGTACATAACAAAGAGCAAGTGAAATTATATACAAATATACATCGCTCCTGACAACACTGACCAGACGAAATTCGAAGAACACACTTTGCAATAATTACACAGGCCTCTGTCTTGCTTGTCTAACCCTTAAATCATAAGTTTTCCCGTCACATGGCAGCTGTCTGAAATCAAGCCCGAAGCGGACCATCTAGTGATTGACACCATGAACACTTATTTGAGCAGCCTGGCGACTCCATTGCTGCCAAACTGTACGGCGACGGAGTCATGACCTGCTCCAACAGCATTCCAACAGGTATAAGCCTTTTCAGGCTGACAGATGCACC